TAGGCATTGTGTCATTGCACATCATTACAAGAAGAATTACTGTATACAAGGGGATGGGTACAGTACAACAAGATATTTTGTTTGAGAGGGGGTGAGGGAGAAAGAACATTTATATAGGTTGTGTTACACACTATATTGCTATAATTTTTTATTTTATTATTAGTTATTATCATTAATCCTTTGCTGTGCCTAATTTCCAAATTAAACTTGATCATAGTATGTATACATAGTGAAAAAACATTGTTTATATAAGATTTGGTACTATTGATAATTTCAGGCACCCAATGGGTCTTCAAACATATGCCTGATAGATAAGGGAGGACTACTGTACATACAATATATATGCACACACCTTGGAAATTTAAAATGTGATAGCATAATTTTTTTAAAAAAACTAATACAATGGTTGGGCTTTTTTAATTTCCTAAAAATAAAACAAAATTTGATACATAGAAAATGCAAGAAGATTGTCAGTCTAGGGGATCCACCATAATGAGTACCAGGAGTTTCTTAAAGAAAGAACCAATTAAAAGGGAGTAAGTTATAGGAAAGAGAGAAGGAGCAAGAGGAGAAGGAAAAGAAAGAGAAGAGAAAATATCCCCAATGTGAAGTCTATAATTTTCTGGATTGAAGGTTCTCATCTAGTACCAAACCAATAGAAACAAAGAGGCCTGTATCAACACACATCTTTTCAGAAGATGATTAATATATTGAGTGTGACCTCCCAACAGCTAAATAAAAACTAGAAGTCAAGGAGACAGGTGCTTTATAATTCTGAAGGAAATAGTTTCCAGGCTTAGAATTACATATTCAAATTACCAAGCAAATGTGGGGGTAAAATACAAACAATTTTAGATTTTCAAGATCATAAAAACTAATGTGCTCCCAAAACAATGCAAAGAAGAACACATGGTATCCAGAAACCAGAGATCCAACACAGGAAAGGAAAATGTCCAAAGGGAATCTCAGGATGATGACTAGTAGAAGTCCTATGCAAACAATCTAGAAGTGGAAAGAGTCAGGGTTTATCAAGGACAGAAGTCTCAAGGGAAAAATGAAACCTATAGTGTGGTTGGTATGTTTGAGTGCATTGAGAGGAGATTTATAATGCCAAAAGGAATTTTAGTGGTAGACATTAAAAACTAGACAAAGGAAAAAAACAAGGCAAGTACTAAATTATAGCAAACAATTTTACAAGAAAAATAATCCTTTATTAGTCACTATATGGATCAGCCAGGAATAACATTTTCATGGTTATCATAATGTAAACACCAAGTCGCTAATTATCCACAATTGGATATGACTATTGATATGGGAGAGAGGAAGAAAAGGTACCTGTTTCTGTGTGTACCCATTTCAGGAGGAACAAGGGATGAGATTGAAAGTGTTTCAATCCCATTGTCATCCTTCAATGAAGGATGTTGTAACCGATCATTTTAAACTGGTGTGTGTGTGTGTGTGTGTGTGTGTTGTGTTATATATCAATATTAGCATGTTGTCTGAAATATAGGTGGACAAAGGAGAATAAAGAGCAGTAAGTCTTTGCCTTCAGAATTGTGGATTAAGGATTTGCCACCACTGTCTTCTTGCCCCCATGCCACTCCTCATTCAACACCCTGCTTAGTAACTCCTCTGCAAAGCATGGCTGGCACTTAATTTTCCCTTTTCTACCTACTTCCTGTCCATGACTTCACAGTAGTCACTTCTTCCTTTTGCCCCAGAAGAGTCCCAACATACACATATCAAGAATGTAAATACGGTTATTCCTTTGCATACCTGTCTCTTCCATTAGCAGGGGTTCTTGCCTTCTTTTGTGCCATAGAGCATTTTGAAGTCTGATGAATTTTATGAGTGTCTCCTAATAATAGTATTTTTAAATGCATAAAACAAAATGCAAGGAATTAGCATGAATCCACTTTTATTGAAATATAGCTGTGAACTTATTAAAAATAAAACAGATTAATGATTGCTATATGCCAGGTTCCTCAGGAAATACAATATATACTGATGTGATAGTTGTGAAAAAATGGTGTCTTAAAGCTAGGTGTGGTGGTGCACACCTGTAATCCCAGTGACTAGGGAGGCTGAGACAGGAAAGTTTGAGGCCAGCCTTGACAATTTAGTGAGAACCTGTCTCAAATTTTCTTTAAAAAAAGGGCTGGGGGTGTAGCTTAGTGATAAAGACCCTGGGTGGTTTAATATCTTTCTCTCTCTCTCTCTCTCTCTCTCTCTCTCTCTCTCTCTCTCTCTCTCTCTCACACACACACACACACACACACACACACAATCTCACAAATTTTAAATGCTGTCTTGATCCAAGTTCAAGGCATGGGCTAGAGAGCAACCAGTTCCCCTTTCTGAGCATTCTATTAAGTCTACACATAGAACCAACTCTCTTATTGGGCTTTCCTACTCTGGGCCACTATACAACTATCCTAATCACTCCATGGCCAGGTAACAGACTACTGGAGACAGCCCTGCCCCAGGGGCAACTGAAATTATTCAAATTAGACAATCCTAAACTTGTTGCACTGTCTCCCCCATTCCTTTCTCCTGAGAAGGCTCTTGCCCACAGATTCCCCCTCTCCCTGGTCTTGTGATAAATTCTGGTGCTTCCACATACCCCCAACCCCTGGTGACACGGCATGTACTCCCTGTCTTCGGATTTGGGAGTATAATAAACTATCTTTTCAAAGGCAATCATCTACTGTTGATCCTACCATATCAAAATAATAAAATTCATTAAACAATCTCAGATTTCAAGATTTGCATGGAGTGGTCTTATGAAGAGCTGCTAGAGAGTGATGGAAGAGGGGATAGGCACAGGGAGAAGATTAATGCTCATGGAGTTGCAATAGAATCCCCAGCTGATCCTCTAAACAGCTCTGAAACTGGTATGGCCCTTCTGTGTTGCCCCACTTGAAGCTAAGTTCTCTTAGAGAGTCTACTAATAGGATGCAGCCTGTCTTCAAGGAGGGAATGTAATTTTGCTGTGAGGCAGTTTTCTTCCGGTAGAGGGCAGTTCCTGAAGAAAAATTCAGCTAAGAGTTGTCAGCCACCATTACTCCTAGCACCCAAGGGGATGAGCAGACTGGGCCCTGTGGGGAGATTTGGACATACTTCACAGAACCACTGCTGGTGATATAGGAAGACATATGCTTCTTAATTAACACTTTAATAAGATCAAATCACTTTAATTTTAAAGTAATGAATGGTATTTTCAGACAGAACAATCACATATGACATAATTTACCTGTGACTTCTATTAAATCCACATATAGCTACCACTACAGGAATTTGTTGCCTATATTTCTGATGGAAGAACATGCTAAATTTCTGTTGGAGTAAAGTTAAAATAGAGTTGTTCAAATCCACATACTCCATTAAGAAGACTTTGGAGGCTGTTGCGAGGGGGCAAAATTGTAACGTATGCAGTCAAGGGGAGAAATAAAGAATGTCCACGCGCTTCTGCCCCTTTCAATGCTTTATTCACTCAAATTACTCAATACAGTTTCACTCTATAGGTTCTTAATCAAGAAAATGACAATCCTTAATGCTAGGCACTGCAATAGACATAATCAATTCATAGCAAACAATTCTAGATTAATTAATTCACAGCAAACAATTCTAGATTCATTCTAAGCACTGCAAAACACACTTAATCATGACAGGCTAATGACAGACTTTCCCTCTGCATGCTAAGTTCAAAAGTCTTAAGCCTTAGGTTTTATGTCCAGCAGATGCATACTCACTCAGACTGCAGTGACCAGGTCAGGAACCAAAGCAGGGATGACTGGTTGAGAAGAGGGTCATAGGGAGAAGTTGCAGCTCTCACCAAGGTCCACATGAGGCAGTAGAGTTTGAGAGCGGTGAGAATCACACAGAGGATCAGGAACAATGACAAGTGATGGGATGTCAGTCCAGATCCTCATCAGGCTCTCCAGCATTCTTGTTTTGGCCGCTGAATCCCTGTTCATTAGCTCTATTATTTATACTAAATTTTGGGGCTTTTGACCCCCGTTTCAATCCTTATCAGCTACCACTGGGTTTCTCAGTGACATCATTTACCCTGGGGTCAGAAACATCTGGTCTGGTGGTCTGCACCTTGATCTTCTTGTCTTTCCCTCTTATCAGGCGAGGACAGCCTGCCAGGGGCTTCACTGTTTATCAGGGTGAGGGGAAGTAACTCTCCATACTGGAGAGCTCTGTGGGTGTGCCTGGTGAGACTGCAGGTTTCAAACTGGAGTTTTTAAAATGGGGTTGCTTAGGCTCAAGGCCTAAGGCATCCTCACAGAGGCAGAACCCTGTCTTGTTCACTTGTCCTCTCCAGAATTATCCACAGTTCTGGATACCAAATGATAGTATTTTTTTCCCAGTACTGGGGATTGAACCAAGGTGAGCCCTGCCACCGAGCCACACCCCCAGACCTGTTTTGTTTTTTTATTTTCAGACAGCATCTGGCCAAATTGCCCAGGCTGGCCTTGAACTTGTGATCCTCATGCCTCAGCTTCTGGACTCACCGGGATTACAGGCATGTGTCCTTGTGACCGGCCCTACTGATGCTTCTTGAAACATTACTATGATTTGATCACTCTAAATTGTCTACATGTATAGAACTATAGTACTGTACCCCATAAACGAGTACAACTATATGTCAATTAAGATTTTAAAATTTTAAAACTTGACAGGATTAAAGAAAACGGATAAAATTTAAAACTCCTCCCAAACACTCCCTCAGCCGCTCAAATTACGTGGAGCCGAATTCTCTCTACGGGAACCTCTAGACGATAAAAGCCCCTGCCACCTTTGTGAAGTTGAAAAAGGCACCCAGCAGGGACGGCCTCGCGATTATAGGTCAAAGCTCCGAGGAGGCGGGACCCTCTCTGTGATTGACAGAAGCCCTTTCTTAGCCGGCAGTTTACGCCCGCGCACCCGGAAGTCCCGCCTTCAGAAAAGGAAGGAGCGGCGCCTGAGAGCGCCGGCCGTGACCGGGGCGACAGCGGTGACCCAGTGAGAGGAAGGCGGGGACGGTAGCAGGTCGTGGTCCTCTGGGTTTGGGTTGGAGGTTAGAGGCAGGGGCAGCAGCTGGGGGAGAAATCAGGTGCGGAAGGTCGTGCTGGCCACGGCCGGTGGGGCCTAGGGACCATGCCCTGGAGCAGGTGGGACTGTGGGGATGGTACGGGAAGAGTGGCAGCACCCTGACTCCTCTGTCCCCTTTTCCCTTTCTTCCTCGAATTTCCTTATCTGTGCTCTTCGCTAAGGCCAGGGGGACTGGGGATCAATTCTGATTTCAATGTGCCTACCCTCCCCCAGGAAGACCCCCGGGCTGCACACCACCTCTGTGAGGTGGTTTGGCCTGCCCACCACGTGTATGATGTGGTTTCTCAGAGACCACTTCACCTCAATCGCTTAATCCCCACTCGCTTAGAAACGTGCCCCCGGAGGGCAGGTTTCATACTGTTTCTCAAAGGCGGCAATATATTAAAGCCTAGTGTGTTCCCATGATGGGACAAAAAGCATTGACTAGATTAAGAGGAACAAGGGAATAGCTGCATTCTATGCATCAGCATTGATATGTCTCTTTGCTTTGACAGCTGGAAATTTAAAATTGTTTGGAGTCAACACTGATTCCAACCATGGGTTTGTCAGCCTCTACCCCTGCTGTTCCAGTTCAGACCTCAAATGCTTCAGATCATCAGACAGCATCACCGCCTTCAGGATGCCCAATGCATGAAGGGAAAATGAAAGGTAATTGACCCTTTGTGTAGAAAAGTAAAACAAGATATTTCTGAAAACGTTCTAAAGGAAGAGGTGGTGTAGTTTGCTAGGGAGGCTTGTAGGCCTGGGAGTGAGGCACCCTGGAGCTGCTTACAAATTTTGTGATTATAGATAGGTTACTTCTCTAAGTCTATTATCTGTAACATGAGACTATAATATTATCTCAGAGGGTTATCATGATGATTAATTAATAGGAGAGCATAGTGATTGCTCCATAAATCATTCCCTGACTCCCCAAAGTTTTCCTGTGCTTCCATCAGTGCTTCTCAGGAGACATTTGCCCATGCTGGGAGACATTTTTATCACAACTGAGAGTACAGAGTACTCCTGGCATTGAGTGGGTGGAGATCAGGAACACTGTTAAACATCCTGTAATGCACAGGATGCCCCCCACAACAAACAATCATCCAGCCCAGATATCAAGAATACAAAGGTTGCATGGAAAACCTTGGACCACATCTATCTGTCTTTTTGTTTTTGTTTAAGTTGTTGATAAACCTTTATTTTATTTATTTATTTATATGTGGTGCTGAGAATCCAACCCAGTGCCTTACACATGCCAGGCAAGTGTGCTGCCACTGAGCCACAGCCCCAGCCCATCTCTGTCTTAATAAATAAACTTTACTCCCATATATGCTACAATATCCTGTAAAATAAGCCATCTCCAAATGGACTTGTGGTCTATTCTTTCAGGGCAAAGCTGAAAATAAAAAGATTTCTTTGACTTTTAGTCAGTGTATGTTGGCTTTTAATTTTTCATATTAAAGTTTGGTTTGAATTAGTAAGTCATGATGAGAGAGGCAATGTGGCATGTTTACTGAATGCTAATTCTTGCAGAGGTAGTCGTTTATTTTCTGGGTGAGCCAGCCCACTTTTACAGGTCACTGCCCATTCTGTGCCAAGCACTTTTTTTTTTATTTCTTCCTGCACTGAGAGTAGTAGTGAATAAGAGGTGAAGATCCTTTGTCTGATGAAGATCCTGTATCTCATATTCATAATCCTGTGTGATGGGTTTTCTGTTTTACAGCCAAGGAGACTAAGGCTCAGAATAAATAACCAATGCACTCCAAGTCACACAGGATATAAGTGGCAAAGCTGTTGAAAACTCTGTGACCTTGGACAAGGACAGATCCAGTGCTCTTGTAGTATTGCTTCTTCCACGAATTGAGACAGATCAGATGAAGCAGCTGTGCTTCTGCTCTGAGTGTCCATCCCCAGGGAGATCAGAGTCTTCTTTCTGGTTTCATTTCATTTGTTATTTATCCTAGAGCCAGTCTGATTTATAGTAAAGAATGTATTTGTAGATCAAAAGGGCTTCTAATTATATAATGTAAATTAACATGAGTGGGAATCTGTGCCCTGGAAAGGATTGATGCTTTGAATGGTAGAGAGGGAAGATATAACAAGTTTGCTTTCACCTCTAAATTAGGCAACTGATGGGTATTAGGAAATGAGGGCCTGGGAGGAGAGGCCCAAGGAAGGAAGTGAAAGGAAACTCATCTTTTCTCTGTGTATCACCAGCATTTAGTGTATTCCATTCTTCCTGCTGCTGCCTGAGTCAAGGATTCTATTACATAACAGCTGTTGTCCCAGGCTGCAGTTCTCCAGGAGCCTGCCTGCTGTGAACTCTTAGACCAACTTCTCAGTCCCCACACCTGACTGAATCAGGATCCAGATACATTGTTTGCCCTTCCTAGTGCTTAGTCATTAGGCTCACACCTTCCCCTTAAGAAGCACCTGGGTCCTAGATGGGTTGTGGGTTGTTTTCTTTAATGTCTCCCTTTTCTTGCTGTCTGCTGACAAGGAACAGCACCTTGGCTACCTAGTAGTTATCTGTGCCTTGTTTTAGTCTTGAAATAAAATACAATCAGAGTGGCATGGAGATTTTTCTTCAGCAGCCTTTGTGAAATCTCTGCTTATTTTCTTCTGCTCCAGTACTTGCAAGAGTACATCAGTAACAGATGATTGGACTGCAGTGGCATCCTGGCTGGGGCTGGGCTTATCTGGAACTAATGGCTGGAAGTTAAGGAGACTCGGTGAAATGTGGCCCAGCCCCTACTTAGGTTCCTTTTACAGCTCCCAGGTGCTGTTCCAAGCAGGAACTTTCTAACCTATTGCAAACACTATGGCATGAGCAATACATACTATTACATCTGCTGAGATATTTTCATTTATTTTTTTTATGGGAGCATAATTTAGCCATAGAATGGGGATTTTTTTTCAGAAGTACAGTAAATTTATAGAACCTTCTCCTCATCTACAGATTTTAGAACATTAGATAGCTTACTTAGTTCGTGGCAGCTTTAAACAAAAGAAACACTTTTTCCTATGGTTGTCAGAACTTCAACTTCTTAAGGCCCCACTTGAGAGACCCAGATGTTATGCTTTTCTTTTGCTGTGTTGACAGTTTTTATACTTGATTATTTCAGGCTGTCCAATGAATGCAGAACCCTCTGGTCCAACTTGTGAGAGCAAAGCATACTCTGTGCCTGCCCACCAAGATCGTGCATATGAGTATGTGGAGTGTCCTGTTACAGGCGTTGCTGCTAAGAATAAGGAGAACCTGGATCCTTCAAATCTGGTAATATATACTGTTTCCTTCTTCCTGGAATATTTTATGCAGAAATGCTTTTACAGACTCCTAAGACAATCTGTAGACTGCTAGGATAGATTCTTCTGACATTTGAAAACTAAAGTTTGGTTTGCATCTACAGTGAAAAGTCTAGAATGGGATACTAAATATAGTTTCAGAGAGCCAGTGATTACAAAGACCCAGGGTAGCTTTACTAGGAATAAGCCATACCAAATGAGTATTTTCTCATGTGAAAGAGTTATTAGATGGTAGCAAGAACTTCCTTAAAGAACATAGCTGGAGGTAGTAAGGTGTTTAGGTTGACCAGAACCTTGTAGGCATCTTACAAGATTGGGGTGCTTCTGCAGGCACTATTAGGAGCCAGCCACATGTTAATTGCTAGGATAGTACAGTGTCATCTGACTGCCAGCAAATTTAATGCCATCAAGAAATGAGGATGAGGATATTCATAATTTCCATAAAGCTCTATTATCTGTTTTGTTCTAAGCCCTGGGAGTGAGCAGTGTGCACAAGATAGGCTATGTTGTTGCCCTCGTGGACTTTATTTTCTGTTATTATTATGTAACCTACATTATTATTATAGTCTGCTATTATATAATTGTAACAGGGGTTCACTTGATGTTTTGACTATTTCCCTTGTGACTCTGAAACTTACATGTTTTCTTTCTTTTACCAACCTTCTTCTCCCTGATCTTCTTTTCCCTAACTTTCTCCTTCCTGATTTTCTCCTCCCTGATCTTCTTTTCCCTAACCTTCTCCTCCCTGATCTTCTCCTTATACATCTCTCCTCCCTAGTCTCATTTTCTCTAAATTACCTTTTTAAAAACCCCGTTACCCATGATGGGCAGAATGACAGCCTTTGGAACAGGAGTCCCCTGTGTTTCTCCTTTGCTAGAAAAGCAATAAACCTTCTTTTTCCTTTTTCTCAAAAAGGGATGAGGTACCTGTGGCTTCTTTATGTTTTATGATAGCCATACAACATAAGGGATTGTAGTCTCATTTGGAATCACATTTTAGTGGAGAGACAGACAAACTTGGGCTTATACTTTAGAGAGCCACAGGATGGCTGTCTAAATTTAAAATGTTTAGAAATTTTAGTGAACCAGGAACATTTGAAGGAACTAGAAATAGTCCTCAAAAAGAGAGATACAATAGCAGTGTCCACATCAGGAACTGAGAAACTGTGGTCCATGAGCTGTACCTGGCCCTCCACCTGCTTTTGAAAATAAAGGTTTGTTGGCATACAGCCATACTCATTCATTTATGTATTGTCTGTCACTGCTTTTACACAGAAGAGAAAGCAGCAGCAGAGTTGAGTAGTGTGATGTGGCACACAAAACCAAAAATATTGGCTATCTGGCTCTTGACAGAAATAGTTTATTTGAAGGCCTATGTGGAAGACAATCTTAGTGGTGTGCCTAAGGATCAATGGGTTGTGTCAACTATAACATCTACTATAAGAGGCCACGTAGAAAGCAACTTGGTAGCAATGGAACCAACCTACACACAGAATGGACTTGTAGATGAAGCAGTAAGTGGCCTGTCTGCTGGAAACATTTATTTAATAGATTGAGTACCTCCAGTGTGCTGAGGACTCTCCTAGGTTAGTTACAAAGATGCATAGGACACAGCTTGTGCTCTCAACTTATTCACATTATAGTAAATTCCAGATGAGAAAAAGAGGCAATTACAGCTCAGTATACTCATTTGGAGAAAAGCCCAGGGTTACTTGGGAGGGATTAGTATCCTAGACTTCAGGTTCAAGAACAGGGAAGGGGTTGTGGTCAAACCTCAGTAAGGACCCTGCCAAACTATAAGGAAATGGCTGTGTTGAAGAAGTTGGATGAGATAAGGGTTTCTTACCCTTGGTACTGTTGACACTTGGGGCTTAGTGATTCCTTCCTGTGGGAGTTACCCTGTGCACTGTAGGATGTGTAGCATTATTCTTGGCTTCTACCCACTAGATGCCAGGAGAACTCTCTCCACTTAGTTGTGACTATCAAAAATATCTCTAGACATTGCAAAGAGTACCCCAGTAGACCACTGGTCCAGATCATCTCTAATAGCCTAGTGGTTCAGAACATGAGCCTTTTAGAATCTTAGATATCTATACTCTTGTCCCAAGGGATCATTATATGTATCGAGGATACTAATAACAGCTAGATTTTCTTGTGGTCATTTTTGAGGCATTCAAGCAAAGTACCATACACTTTTTCTTTTATCCTCATAATAGCCTCATGTGGTCAGTGTTTCTTGTCCTTGTTTTAGAACTGAAGATACTGGGAGTGAGAGTGAGCTGCTTGCCCCATGCCATTCAGCTAAGAAGTGGCAAAGCCAAACTGAAGCCCATCTGCCTCAGACTTATGTCCTTAAAAATGCTAGTGGTGACAGTACAGGCAGTCATTGCAGAGCTTACCATACAAAGCTCTCCTTCTATTGTAATTCAAAGTAGGGGCCATTTTATGGCTGAGAGTTTTATTTTTTTCCATATTTTTTAAACTGGTGCACTACTAATTACACATAATGGCAGGATTCATTGTTACATATTTATAGATGCACATAATATAATCATATACTTTGGCCAGTATCATTCAATTATTCATGTGTATCTGTTAGAGAAAATCCTTCACACTTCTAATACAAAAAGAAGTTCTAACCAGTTTTCAACTTGGGGTGCTTGCCAGGGGACAGTTGACTTATGTCTGGAGACAGTTTTCATCATCACAACTGGGCAGGAGTGTTACAACTGGGTAGAAGCTGAGGATAATGCTAAATAACCTACAGTACTCAGTGTTACAGAACCCCTTAACCAAAAATCAGCCCCTAAAGTCAACAATGCTGAAGGTGCAAGACCCTGACCTAAGTTAGCTGTTAATTAACATAATAGTACTGACTGATGACCCCTGAATGGGAGAAGGGATTGTGCCACACCTTCCGTCTGGCATTATTGCAATGCAAATATTCATTTATATTGTGTTCAGCCCAAAGTCTGAAAGTATAAGCAGAATTGTGCATGTATGAATGTTTAAAAAGAAAGTTGCATTATGTATATAGTCTGTGAGATTTTCTTCAAAAGTTCAAAAGAGTTAATAGTCATTTTTGAATAACCTGTCAAAAAAGTTTTTTGTTTTTTTTTAACCAGGGGCTGAAACTATGGGCACTTAAACACTGAGCCACATTCCTAGCCCCTTTCTTTTTTTAATTTTTGAGACAAGGCTTCTCTAAGTTGCTGACGCTGACTTTGAACTTGTGTTCCTCCTGGCTCAGCCTCTTGAGCTGCTGAGATTATAATAAGAATTTTAGAAATGCTTGCAGTTTATATTAGTTTTTACTTCTGTGTCCTTGGTGACATCGCTTCTAAATTTGTTCAAAAGAGAAAAAGAGCAAAATTTAACCACAGTATCTATTTACCATTTATGAGAATTTAATCATGGAGGAAATAAGCTTCAGTATTCTGAAGTTTCAGAACAATCCAAATGTCTAAGAGGCTTGAAGTTTTGATGTCAGTGGGTTAGTGGGGAATCTGTGCTTTGTGTGTGATCCATTGCTTTCCAGTAGGTACTTAATTATATTCATATATTCTACTTTATGTCATATTTCTAGCATTTATTAAGCAAATCTACTTACTTTATTTAGATGCCACCACCTAATCAAACACCAGCTCCAGATCAGCCCTTTGCATTGTCTACCGTCAGAGAGGAGTCATCCATTCCACGAGCAGATTCAGAGAAAAAGTGGGTTTATCCTTCCGAACAGATGTTCTGGAATGCAATGTTAAGGAAAGGGTAAGTGAATGAGCATATTGTTTAAAATATAAATTTGGTTGTTAAATTCATCTAAGAATTGAATGTTAGTTTTTTTACCTCAAAAAATACAGCAGGTTTTTAATGAGTTAATTAGCTTATAATCAACAGAATTTTTAGACTTGTCAGAATATAAGTTCAAGGCAAATTTTGAGGTCAGCTTCTCCAGAGAAACAGAATCAACAGGATTGGGAGAGCAGGGCAAGATTTATTTTCAGGAATTGACTAACATGATTATGGAAGCTGACAAATCCCAAGATCTACAGCTGACAAACTAGCTACCGAATAGAGCCAATGGTATAGTGCTAGTCCGAGTCTGAAGGCTTGAAACCCAGGAAGAGCTGACATTTTAGTGTGAGTCTGAAAAACAGGAAAATATAGTGCTAGTCCAAGTATGAAGGCTTGAAACCCAGGAAGAGCTGACATTTTAGTGTGAGTCTGAAAAACAGGAAAAGACTATGTTTCAGTTCAAGCTTCTGCTTATGGGAAGATCAGCCCTTTTCTTACATTTAGGCCTGAAACTGATTGGATATGGCCCACCCATGTGGAGCACGACAGTCTCCTTTACTCATTCTGCTGATTGAAATGTTGATCTCATTCAGATACCCCGTACTGACATGCTCAGAATAATGTTTGGCCACACTGCTCCATGACCCCATCAAATCGCACATAAAATTGACCATCATAGCCAGTAATATCTTTTTTCTTTTAAAGGAAAGAAATGCTAATGTAGAGAATACTTTTTAAAAGTTGGAGCTTCATTAATCATTGTTACTAACTGAAGAAACCATCTTTAAAAGAACCATCTTTAAAAATAGATGTTTCCATAAGTCTGGCTTTTGAAACTCAGTGAAATGAGAGTAACTTCATTATTAATCTTCAATTTTAATGTTTGTGTGGTAGCTTTTGATTTATGGCATTATTCCATGATCATAAGTAAATCTTTAAAATGAGTCTTAGATTTCATTGAATTCATAGAAAATGAGCATTCTTAGTTTTTTTGTAATTTTGTAAATCACTTTATGAATATTTGGATTAACTTTTTGTCATTATCAGTAAAGTTTGTCACATTTTACCAAATGTGCTTTCATAGGTGGAGGTGGAAGGATGAGGATATTAGTCAGAAAGATATGTATAATATCATTAAAATTCACAATCAGAACAATGAACAGGCCTGGAAGGAGATTTTGAAGTGGGAAGCTCTTCATGCTGCGTAAGTATGATTGAGATCTTAAAAAGTATTTCCAGTGTCGTTTATATTTTGTATCAACTTCTACAGTTTTAGCATTAAAATAATTTGATACTTAAATAAAATACTTATAAAACTGTCCTGTGACATTTTGTGGGACAGATTACCCCTCCATATTCATGTGAAAAACAGCAACCATTTTATTAGGCTTGTGGACTTGGTGGGTCCAGAATGCAGAAAAGACAAAGATAGCTCCTCTCTACTCCCTGATGTCTGGGGCCTCAACTCCCAAGTCAGGGATGGTTGCGTATCCATGGACTGGAGACCTCTGAAGGTGTCACCATTTACTTGTCCAGCAGGTGGTGCTGGCCATCTTTCAGACCAACCTGCTTATGGCTTCTAAATGTGACTGTTTTGGCTTCCTCACATCATGGTTGCCAGGATCCAGGAGCTAGGATTCCAAAAAGCACCAAGCAAAGCTGTGTCTTCTTTTCTGACCTAGCCTCAGAAGTCCCATAGTGATACAAGCCTGCCCAAGTTCAAGGGGAGGGAACAGAGACCCCCACCTCTCAGTGAGAGGAGTTCCACAGTCCATTGAAAGCAGAACACATAAGAAGAGAGGTACTAAAATGCTCTGTGTCCTAAGCCAGATGGAAAGATGCTTTTGTTTCCTCAGCACCATCTATTGAATCCCCATTAGGAATAACTCTAAGAGATGTCTTATTATGGGGCCCCTTTTCTCAGGGAGATTTGGTAAATGTATATGCTTTGGTGATAGGACCTGTGTCTGTAGAGACCAGAGGTTCTCAGCACCTTCTGGAAAGTTTGTTACAACGCTGCATGCTAGGCCCCACCTCAGCCCAAGAAACAGATCATTTCATAATCTGTGGTTTGCATTTCAGATTCCTCACAAAATGTCATTAATTTGTTTCTTAGCTAAAATTTACTTATTGATTTATTTTATGGGTTTTTTAATTCAGTTTGGTTTTTTTTAATCCAGAGAAAATATATTTTTAAATTAATTTATTTATTTGTTCCAATTTGTTATACATGACAGAAGAATGCATTTCAGTTAATAGTACACAAATGGAACAGAATTTTTCATTTTTCTGGTTGTACACAAAGTAGAGTCACACCATTCATGTCTTCATACATGTACCTAGGGTAATGGTATCCATCTCATTCCATTGTCTTTCCTACCTTCATGCCCCCTCCCCTCCACCCTATCCAAAGTTTGTTTTTAATATTTTCCCTCTGCAGTTCATTAGTAACACTTCCTGGGTGTCACTGGCCAAGCGCAAGGCCTGTGATGAGTGCATGTGAGGGGGAAACAGTGCAGCAACCACGTTGCCTGTCAGTAATCCATAGCCTGAAGGAGTCACACTCCCAGCTTGCTAATGAGGGAAGCCACAAGTGTCTGCAGTGACCTTGGTTGAAAGTGTGCTATAATTAAAACTGCCTGCTCTTTACTTATAGTGATTACATGGGGCAGAGGCAAGAGAGCAGAGGGAATTTTAGTTCATCAGCTTCAGCTCCCTCTCCAGTTGTTTTAGAGAGTTTTGGCAAAATTAGGTAAGCCTTTAAAAACCCATGTCAAGGTCTCCAGGAGAGTTTTCCTGGATCAAGTTTGTGACCCTCTTAGGCAGAGAAACTAAGGAGTAGGTCCTGAAAGGAAAACTCAGTAACTTATGGTCCTCAAATAAGGCTTCTTATGCTTTGAATGCTTTTTTCCTTTGCACTTAGAGAGACACATCAAGATGGAAGCCTGTCTCGTCAGGGAAAGCAGCTAACTAACAAGTTAGGGGGCCTCATGTCTTGACTGCCTTCCCTGATTCACTGGTGAAGCAGCTGTGTATCTATTGTACAGGTGGACCATGCCTTCTGTAAAGGGCAGGTCTGTGAGTACTGCTGCACCCCAGTGCCAACAGAAGGCTGAATCCTCAACCAGGGTTTGTGGGCAGAGTAAGCAGATTCTATAGCTAGAACCTTGTCACCCCTCAGTTTATGTGTAGTTATTTATTTAAGGAGTGGTTCCAACACCAATTACTACTATTTCCTAGGGATTTGTTCATCATTTTCTTTCTCCATAATGGCTGTTATCCCACAGTGTCCACAGAGGATTGGTTCCAGCACTCCCTAGTGATACCTAAACCATTGGATGCTCCAATCTCTTATATAAAATGGTGTAGTTTTTGCATATAACCTATGTACACTCACATGGATTCTTTAAATCATCTCTAGATGACTTACAATAGCTAATGCAGTGTGAATGATATGTAAATAGTTGTTATATTGTATTGCTGAGGGAATCATCTTAAGAAAAATGTCTACACATTCAATACAGATGCAGTTATTTTTTCAAATATTTTTAATCTGCACTTAGTTGAATCTGCAGGTGTGGAGCCCATGGATACAGAGAGCCAACTATATATAGAATTTTCTTATGTTTGTCTGAAACAAACCCAGCTACCCTATGCAAAAGAGAAGCAAGATACACAATACTTAATCCTTTTTTTTTCTGAGGATATGCCTAACTCCCTGCCCCAAATGGAAGGGCCCTGGCAATGCCCTTTCCATCTGTTTCTTAGCTAAAATTCACTTATTGATTTATTTTATGGGTTTCTTATTCAATTTTTTTGTATTCAGGGAAAATATATATTTTTAATTAATTTATTTATTTGTTCCAATTTGTTATACATGACAGCAGAATGCATTTCAGTTAATAATACACAAATGGAACAGAATTTTTCATTTCTCTGGTTGTATACAAAGTAGAGTCACACCATTCACATCTTCATACATGTACCTAGGGTAATGATGTCCATCTCATTCCATTGTCTTTCCTGTCCCCATTCCCCCTCAGTACAAACAAATGTCCCAGTCTGGAGGGAGGAGGGGAAAGTAAAAGGCACCCAATCCAGAAGGAAAGAGGAATATTTTCAATAAATAGGGACATTTTATTTGAATTGCTTTAGATGCTGCTATATCAATGCAATATTATGTGAAATGCATACAGGAATATGTATATTATTGAAAAACTGGAACATATCCTTGTCAAAGGAAAGAAAGTATTTTAATAGGTTTTTCTCTTGGCATTTTCCAGGGAGTGCCCTTGTGGTCCATCTTTGATCCGATTTGGAGGGAAAGCAAAACAATATTCACCAAGAGCAAGAATTCGTTCCTGGATGGGGTGAGTGTCAGTGCCAAAATGTTATTTTGTATACCTCAGATCAGGGTCAACTTTTTCTTGGCACCAAAGAATCTAAGAACTGTAGTGCCATCTTCTAAAACTCATTTAGTATTCAGCTATAGATTTCCTTCTCTCCTTGAGGTTTGCTCCTTGATGGGCAGATGTGTTAAGGTGTAGTGGCTAGCTTACTATTTAATTATCTGAGGATCCAATTGATTTCTCTTCTGTATTCTTGCATCCATCTTTTACTCCTCCTATAATCTTTGGGTACATCTGCTTAGTGTTCCTAACTTCTCTCCTAGTAAATAGTTAAATGGCCCAGGTTTCTTTCCTGTGGATCTTTTTCCTTTGTAAGAGAATGAGCAGTCATGTGACCTGGACTCATCAGTCATTCAGTGCCATGTTCCCTTAGTCTCTGAGCCTCACCCTCCCAGTCAGGTGTTTGCTTTTGAGAGCAGGCAAGTGCTGCTTCTCAGCCACTCTCACCGCTAAACCAGCACCAAATGCCCAGCCAGTGATTTATACCCACTATCATGCTTTCATTCCAGGTATGAGCTGCCTTTTGACAGGCACGATTGGATCATCAACCGCTGTGGCACAGAAGTTAGATATGTGATAGATTATTACGATGGTGGTGAAGTCAACAAGGACTACCAGTTCACCATCTTGGACGTCCGTCCTGCCTTGGATTCACTTTCAGCAGTATGGGACAGAATGAAAGTTGCTTGGTGGCGCTGGACATCATAACCATTGTTTTGTTTGTGATGCAAAGTATAAACTATTTTTTTTTCTGAGAGATACATTAAACTATTTTCCCCAAACTGAACTGCACTCATGATGTAATAGGAACTTCAAGTGGGTCATACACTTCATCCGCCACTTAGCAAAGGGCCCCTGCTCCATTCAGTTTTGAGCTGCATTTTGCCTTGTGGTTTATAGCAAATAGTTCTAAGTTTTCTTCCCGTTTGGTTTAAGTGGGAAGCAGTACCTCAGTTTGTCCGTTAGCTGCAATATTGCCTATGTATTTCATCTAGAAAAGTCTGAAAAACCTCTGAAAAAGTTTTTTAGAAAGTGAGGAAAGCTGCTTTTTTCTTACCATTTTCTCAGGAATATTTGAGAGGTAAAACCTGAAAGCCAGTGTACTGCTCATGAGCTTTTACCTGGTCATATCTTTTAACTAAAATCATTTATTATAAATAAGCAATATCTTTTTAAAAAGAGACTATTATTTCTGAAGTCCCTACAATTTAGTAGAGACCCTGAACAAAATGCAAAGCCATACCCTTGCACTCCAGCAAGACTAAGGCAAGGCGTGTCTTGGCTCTCAATTCTTATTTATATGCATTTTTCAGACTGGGCCTTGTTAAAGAAGTTTCAACTCACCATGAGGTGCTGATGCATATGCTTTGCAACATATATTTCAATTTTTAAAATATTTTCCTGTTGTTCTGATATGTAACTCTGCTTCCCCATACAGGTCTCTTCATTGTCTGTGGAATTTAAAGTTATCCCAACTTTGAGAGTCCCATTCCTTCCTCCATTGGAAGCCTTCCTTCTGGTTGGCTTAAATGTCTGGCTCAAGTCACAGTGCCAGTGATTATATTTAGCTGAGTATTAACATTCACAAGAAGAGTATTTTTCTCAGATGTAGTTATGTTTGCATTAATTCACTGTCTCAATTTTTATGTTTTAAAGAAGCTTTAAGCTTGGTGTTGAAATTCCTTGTATCAGTAACCCCAAAACTGATTGTTCTAATTATAACAGCATGTTACAAATGACTGTTTTTTAAAGTGTTGATAATATTAAATCCTTTAATTTATCCTGAATACTGTAGTGTTAAATTAGTGGATGAAATTGGCAGTCTGTGATTTATTAATTTGGTATGGATTTCTTGGGTGTGTCAGTTTTGTGTGGAGTTTCAAAAATCCAAAAAGCTTAAGTTCTACATGTCAAGAGTATTTTGTACATTTTTAAATAAAGCTGATAGTTAACAGGTTTTGAAAATCTTTCAGAGTAACCTTATAGTTAATTTTTCTTCAGACATGCAGTCTCTACAAAAGTAATGCCATAGTCTCCCTACTTGGGTCAGATATTTTCTCATCTGTTAATCACATATTTTTTAAACTATACAGGGAAATACTTATTGTTGGCTTTTTTCCTAGTCCTGAGTGCTCTTGATTGAGTATAGGATTAGGCATTACATGAAACAAATCATTGTAACTAGAAACTGAAAATTAAGCCATATGCAAAAGGTTTCAGCCCTGTTACTGGGCTTTAGTCTTTTTTGAAACAGACAATCTTGAAAGTAAACTGTCAAGCAAATTTGATGACAATGTCAACAGTTTTTTTAATATTTATTTTTTAGTTGTAGTTGGACACAATACCTTTATTTTAATGTGGTGCTGAGGATCAAACCCGGGGTCTCACATGTGCTAGGCGAGTGCTCTACTGCTGAGCCACAACTCCGACCCAAGATCAACAGTTTAATATACCCTTTTACCACTTCAAGAAAAGACTGTATAGCCTACTGGGTACTCAGAGCTGCTGTGTGTCTGGATTATACTTGATTGTGTCTGGGAACAGGACTTATCTGCTCTGAAAGGAGTTTTCACATATAACTTGAAATTCATTTTGGATCATCTCTGGGGTTTTAAACTAAGTCTCATGAAAAAATACTATTTAGAATTAGAATACGTTACTATACATCAGGGAAAGTATTAGTAGATGGGAGTTCAAACCGGGATTGCATTTTAACATCCAATCCTATGAATTCAGTTGTTAACATTCATGAATGTGTATGTCCACACTTTGCATCTTATTGAGAGTACAATATTACAGAAGGTACATCCCCTACCTTCAGGAAATCAGTCTTTTGGAGGGCAGTCTGTAAATGAAATGATGGAATTAGTAGAATTCCAGTTGAAAGAACACATTGTAATAATGAGAGGGGGGCAAATTCACATAAGAATTTTTGAGTATATAGCTATTAATATTCCTTATTGAGTCACCAATATGGTTATTGCACCCTAGTGAAAGCAACACAATCTATTTCCTGTCTCACCTTTGCAATGACTATGGGAATTGTTCATAGGCTTGAGGCTGCTTGCGTGGTGATTAAGAATGTGTGTCTTGGCTGGGCACAGTGGCACACACCTCCCAGCAGCTTGGGAGGCTGAGGCAGGAGGATGGAGAGTTCAAAGCCAACCTCAGCAATGGTGAGGTGCTAAGCAACTCAGTAAAACCCTGTCTCTACATAAAATACAAAATAGGGCTGGGGATGTGGCTTAGTGGTTGAGTGCCTGAGTTCAATCTCCAGTCCCCCCCAACCCTCAATGTGGGTGTGGAAAACAGTTTGGAGGGGGCTGGAGATGTGGCTCAAGTGGTAGTGCGCTCACCTAGGCATGCGTGCGGCCCAGGTTCGATCCTCAGCACCACATACAAACAAAGATGTTGTGTCTGCTGATAACTGAAAAATAAATATTAAAAAATTCTCTCTCTCTAAAAAAAGAGTTTGGAGTCTTTGCTCTGTCCTTTACTTGCTGTATGATCTTAATGTCTCTGGGCCTCAGCTTTTGCTGCTGTCAAGTGAGAATAATCAAACAGCTCTACTAGAGTTGTCTTGCATGTTGTGAGATGAGGCCATCACCATGTGACCAACAAAAAGTAAAGTGAGATTGTGCATCAGGGATAGAAAACAGTGCTGATACATACTCCACAGTCTAGCATCCTCTATTCCTCTGAGAAGATTCTATTTAGGAGGCTAGAAACAGGCTCTATTCCTAATTTTTGTCAGTTTTAAGTATTAGCAGGTGTATGAATGCTTGCTGTAAGCAAGCTCATGTTATTTAAAACCACCAAAAGGGATCTTTAAAAATAAACAAGACAGTGACATTTGGTTTACTTACTATGACAGTTCCACTTGACAAAAATAAAGGGTATATTTAAGCTCTTGTGTTTCCTTATCTAAAATGTAGCACTGTGAATGTAGAAACCAAGTCTATAAATAGTAAGGGAATGGTTAGAAAGTGTTTAAAGGAGAATTACTAAAAATATTGCCATGAAGCTGGAAAGGGCTGGGAAAATACTGTACAAATCCAGAATAATAATTCTCTTCTCTCCTTTGCAGTGGTTTCTTAAATTTCCTTTAAGAAAATGGAACTGGAATTATAGATAATGCATAATGGATAAGATTCATGTAAGAATAAAGTGGCACTACTGGCCCACAGCACCCCAAAAGTAAATAGTGAATAATGTGCTGTGTTTATGTGCTTTCAGCTAAAATCTAATGTAGAGTCATTTTGATTCAGCTGGACTTTTTAAAAATACAGTTTGACATTGTTCAGACAAAGATTGCATTAGAGCATTATTTGGGATCTTGCTGTCTCTCTCCCTTTTCTGGTTTACCCAGCAATCTGTTTCTCAAACTTCTATGTAGATCAGAATGCCCTGGAAGGCTTATTAAAACACAGATGGCTAGGCCCCAGCCCAGAGTTCCTTATCCAATAGGCCCAGGGTGGCAAGGAATTTGCCTTCCTAATGAGCTCCCAGGAGATGCTGCTGCTACTGGTCCAGGGACCACAATTTGAACCTCTCTTTCCTCTGCTGAGTCTGTTCAGCTTTTACTCCACCCCCACCATCTTTTCAGTTACCACATATTCACATAGCCTTGGGTCAAAGTTCCAAGCAGGAGATGTGAATGCAAATATTCAATAGAAATACCATTTTTCTAATTTTGCTTATTCCCCATTTCTTCCCTAGAGTCTCCCTTCTCCCCTCAGTTCTGAAGGCTTCATACATTTTACCATGTTTTGTTTTAATAACAACTTTTCTTTGGAAAATTTATTGTCTCCCATGACTCTTGTAAGTGATAACAGTGGGGCAGAATGACAAAGGGGTGACAATGATGGCTCCCCCAGAGTTGCTCATAGTACCCCTATTGTACTATGTGCTGCTTCTATGTGAATTGTGGTCTTGAGAAAAAAAAAAAAAAAAACTTTGTTGGTGGCTGCTCCCTGATCAGCCCAGGTGTTCTGGGTTTTCCCAAGACTTGACCTTTGCTCACCACATTAGTTTGCCAGGGCAGCTGTAGCCAAGTGCTACAGATGTAGCTTAAGCAACAGAATTTTTTCTCTCACAGTTCTAGAGGCCAAAAGTACAAGATCAAGGTGTTATCAGGGCTGTGATTCCTTTGAAGTCTCTTGGGGAGGATCTGTTCCAAGTCTGTCTCCCAGTTTCTAATAAGTTCTTTGGCTCTTGGCAACATAATACCAGTATTCATATGGTATTCACCTGTGAGCATGTCTGTCTCTGGCACCCCAATTTTCCCTTTTATTAGGACACCAGTTATGTTAGATTAGGGTCCCCCTTCAATGCCCTCATCTTAACCCCTATTTCCAAATAAGGTCACATTCACAGGTATTGGGAGTTAGAACTTCAACAGTTTTTTAGTCAGAGAGTGTTGAGGGGGGGAAATGAACACAATTCATACTCACGTTAGCAGAATGGCTTTGAAAAAATTAATCCAGGTCCAGCTCATCCTCTGGCGTCTGAGCCCCATCACTGCTGAATTGGTCATCTCCTTTGAGTAGATCGAGGAACAGTTTTGCCCCCACCCCTAGAGGACATTTGTTTCACTCATTAACCCAAAATTGATCCCGAGTGAGGGCTTGCAGCCTGATGCACATAGAGGCCAACAATTGTTGTACCAGATATTTGCAAAAAGAAAAGTTTTTGTTGAAGGCCAACTGACAAGGAGGCCAGAGGCACCCTCAAATCTGTCTCCTCCATCAGTTCTTAGCAAGGGAATGAAAGCACTCTGT